TACGCCACTAGTAACGCTTACTTTTCTCGATTGAATACCAGCCAACTCGACGTATTGTCTTCGATTTGACACATAGGATGACAGAAGCCGTATAAGAGAACAATCACACCCAAACTTCTCCAACTTTTCCGTCAACAAGAAGAGGTCTAAACAATCGAAGGCCCGTGAGAAATCCGTGTATATGACATCCACCTGTCCACGGCGATCTAGTGCCCTAGATACGTATTCGGTAAAACTCAACAGGTTAGTGGCTGTGGATCTACCTTTGCAGAAACCATGTTGATGTTCAGACATTCGTGCTTTGGTGTAGAATTCCATCTTGTATGCTACGATTTGTTCAAACAGCTTCGCGAAGTTATTTATAATAGCTATTGGCCGATAGTTCATCACACAGCACCTATTTTCATCACCTTTTTTGAAAACAAATTCTGCTCAATTTCCAGGTTTCCGGAAATTCAGAGTTCCTTACAATTAGATTGAAAATATCTTGCAGTGGTCGCAGAAATGCAGGTGCACAGTCTTTAACTAAAAATGCAGGAATGCCATCTGGCCCGGTTGTATTTTTTGCCTTAAATCTATTGAAGGATTCCACCATTTCGCCATAGCTAATTTCATTATGGTTTCTTTAGGAAAGCTTGAATGATACGCAGAAAAAATTAATGCTTCGACAGTTGAAAACCACTGAAAGACATTTTCCACCTGAGATACCAAGTTTTGCATTAACTTTTACTCAAGTAGTGCGTATTATTATGTAAGCAAGATGTTTGAGAAATGTTTACCGCATCCTTCTACTCTAAGAAAATGGATATCCTCAGACGAATATTTTACTCTTCTTGGACAGGGAAAAGATACCGCTCCCGGTTATGATAACATCACAAGGAAACTGCTGATATGTCTAGATCTTAACATCCATGGCTTTATCAGAAAAATAATTAACTTTTACCTTACGACTCAGCATTTCCCGCGCGACTGGAAGACGTCAATTATAACTTGTATTCCTAAGAAGGATTCTTCTCTATCTGATCCAGCCAACTATCACCCCATCTCACTGCTCCCCGTAATTGGAAAACTCTTCGAGACGCACTTGAAGAACAAGCTGCTGGCTGCGGTATCAAAGAAAATTCCGCCCTACCAATTTGGCTTCCAATCCGGCAAATCAACGTCCCAGCCACTAACTATTCTGGTTTCCAACTTCCAGGCGGCATGTTTTGTAAAACTGAAATCTGCAGCAGTGTTTCGCCTATCTCTCCCTCTCTATACAATCTATTCTGCCACGATCTTTACAACGACAACCCAGACGCCTTTAACCTCACCGCATACGCACTACTTTATGCCGACGACACAGCATTGGTCTCGCACAGTAGTGATATCACTTCCTCGGTCCGTAAGCTGCAGACGCTCATAAACGAAACGGAAAACTGGTACCGAAAATGGCACATCCTACTCAATCCCACAAAAACACAATTTTTTGTCCCATTCCTCTCACCCCGCCTCCCTCTCCCACAATTACAATCCAATCAATGGCAATCTCCGTCTCACTAACCTGCAAGTATCTTGGCATAATACTTGACAGAACGCTTAAGTTTTCCACTCATGCAACCAAGGTGAAGATGAAAGTAAAGACACGCGCCAAACACTTTAAATCTCTCTCGTTCAGCGGTCGCGGAATCTCTACCTCATGTGCCTCGCACATCTACAAGACCATATGCAGGCCCATCATAGAATATGGATCAATACTGCTAAGCAACGCACCAAGAAGAACGAAGTACCACCTGGAAGTAGCGGAAAGATCTGCACTGAGATCCATCACCCGAATTAGAAACCCCCGTAATCCCCTCTTTAACCCTAGCAATGATCTGCTATACCAACTTACCGATATACTCCCTATCCATACCCGTCTTCAATCTTTGTCCGATAAATCCATTCTAAATTTTCCTACCAACGCCTTGCAACACATGCTTATATCGCCTCGATTACTCCACCCTCGCAACAACCCACCTCTTCTCTTCCAAAAACTCATGGTCGTCAGAGAGGACTGAAGCAAGCCGCCGACTACAAAAATCACGGGCAGAAAGACTTTGGTCGGTAGCCCTATTCTCACCCATTAACTTTTTTATTTTTGTTGTATATACATATAGATATTTTTATTGTTATTCTTATTTTTATGTAGTGGGTACAGAATAAAATTTGTTTTCTTCTGGATATCCTCGGTTGATAGTAGAATTTAAAGAATAATTTTAAGAATTTAAAAACAAAATCATTGCAAGTATGCAACCAATATCGCAAATCGCGTATTGTAATACGCATACTATGATATTGGTTGCATACTTGTAATGATGCCGTCGGGTACGATAATTAATTAACACACTATGTTATGAAGATTCTTGATTAGTAAAAATATTGATTTTTTTCTTGCTTATTTCTTGTAATAATTTTATCTCGCATTTTTTTAAAATTAAATAAAGAATTTTTTTATAATTTCTTGTGTTTTATTTGGAGGTGTGTTTTGTTGAATCGGTATGCGATTTATCGAACAAAAAGTGTTAGTAAAAATGATTCTGGTGTAATTGAAGCGTCGAAAACCCGCGCAGGCGCTTTAAAAGCGACGTACCCGACGCAGAACGTCGAAGGTAAGTAGTAGCGTCGGATCCGACGACGGAGCTGTGAAAATCTGACTGTTTTTTTCGTTTTACACTTATATTAGAAACCATGTACAATAGAGAAATCATTAGTTTTTAATAAAAAAGTCTGTGGTTCCTGTTATTTTTGTTTAATATCTAAGAAGAAATAAAAAAGAGGTAAGTAAATAAATATAAAGTGTTTGTTGAAGTAAACTAATTTGTTTATACGAAAAGGAATGCAACAAATTTAGGTTCTTTGAAAGTTGTTATTTTCAAATTATTTTTAATTTAATGTGTTAATATTATTAAGTTTCGCGTTGCACGAACAACGCGTTCCTTTTTAATTTAAAAGAATAACATTCTTTGCTACCTGTGCCTATATTATATTAATTAACAGATAATATATTGATTAGTCAAAATTAGACGTGATGTTACTGTAAACATCACCACCTCTATATCCGACAGAACGTAGTCTCCGCTTTAAAAGGGAGTAGCTACCATAGCAACGAATGTACAGTTCGTCCTAAAAGGAAAATCTGCATGAATTTTTATACCCCACTTCAACACTTTGCATCTTCATTTTTATTCTTTGCATAAATCGAAAACGATTTTTTTGCAATCGTAAAAATTGTGTCAGTGTACCCCCGTTTTTTTCTCGCTCAACAACATTGTTAAAGGGGAATCGACCCTATTTCATCCCTATCCTTTTATACTAAGTAGTAGCTAACGAAGTTATGTGTCGCATGTTTTAAAAGGGGTTCATTATAATTGCATTCATCGACTCAAAATAGATTTACATTTAAGACTACTACTTGAGATAAAAACCGATTCGTGTTCTCAAATTAGATTCGATAAATTTATTAAGTTATGTTGTTTTTTTAGGCAAAATGTTGGGGAGTAAATTACGTTCGTGGATGGATATCGTTAGACACAGAAAGAAGCAACAAAGGAAGGATAAACCGAAACACAATTGTCCGGTTTCAAAACAAGCTCCTATTTTAAAATCGGATAAATCATTTTCGTCGGAAAATGAAATTTTGGTAAGATACAAAACGTGAAATTAATAACTTTTTTGAGTTTAATAAATTGCCTGCAACAAACTTAATATTCACTACAGAATAATAAAATGAGTACTGCTTGAGGAGAATCAGATACTGGTTAATTCAGTACCATAATACTTTTTCTTTTGAAATTAATAAGAAATCTGATAAGATATGTCAACTTATTTGGATCCAAGATACAAAATGAATTTTTTTCTCAAAACTAAAAAGAACTAAAAATTTCAAATATTGTTTTCTCAAAAACTAAAAGTTATTTTGCAAAACGGGTTGGTTCATTGGAAAGAGGACACTTTTATTAACACTTTGGGAAATGTTCAAACTCATATTGCAAGAAATGGATTTTATACGAATTTTTAAAACTTAATCGGCGAAAGTTGCAAAATTCGAAAAGATTGTCGATTATTTCAAAAATTTATTTCTCAAGAACTAAATGTGATTTTTCAAAACGGCTTTTTGTATTAAAAAGAGGATACTTTAATTAATAATTTGCGATATTTCCAAAAGGATCCTTCAAGAAATTAATTTTATAGCGAATTTTGAATGTTATCGATGAAAATTGCAATTATCAAAACTTCAAATATTGTTTTCTCAAAAACTAAAAGTTATTTTTCAAAACGGGTTGATTTATTGGAAAGAGGACACTTTTATTAACATTTTGGGAAATTTTCATACTCATATTTCAAGAACTAGATTTTATACGAATTTTTAAAACTTAATCGGCGAAAATTGCAAAATTCGAAACAAATTTCAAAAATTTATTTCTCAAGAACTAAAAGTGATTTTTCAAAACGGCTTTTTGCATTAAAAAGAGGATACTTTAATTAATAATTGGTGATATTTCCACAAGGATCCTTCAAGAAATTAATTTTATAGCGAATTTTGAAAATTATCGATGAAAATTGCAACATCGAAAATTTTATCAAAACTTCAAATATTGTTTTCTCAAAAACTAAAAGTTATTTTTCAAAACGGGTTGGTTCATTGGAAAGAGGACACTTTTATTAACACTTTGGGAAATTTTCATACTCATATTCCAAGAAATGGATTTTATACGAATTTTTAAAACTTAATCGGCGAAAATTGCAAAATTCGAAAAAATTGTCGATCATTTCAAAAATTTATTTCTCAAGCACTAAAAGTGATTTTTCAAAACGGCTTTTTGCATTAAAAAGAGGATACTTTAATTAATAATTGGTGATATTTCTAAAAGAATCCTTCAAGAAATTAATTTTATAACGAATTTTTAAAGTTATCGATGAAAATTGCAATTATCAAAACTTCAAATATTGTTTTCTCAAAAACTAAAAGTTATTTTTCAAAACGGGTTGGTTGATTGGAAAGAGGACACTCTTATTAACACTTTGGGGAAATTTTCAAACTCATATTCCAAGAAATGGATTTTATACGGATTTTTAACTTCAAATATTGTATAAATAAACTTTTGCAAACAGTATTTAAATCATTTCAAGCAGTATCTATTATTCTGCAGTGAAAATCAGTTTTGCTACAAGCAATTTATTAATAAATTATTCAATATGCGAATGATGAGACTGTAATAAAAGCAGCAGCTATACCACTTCTAAGTAAAAACTTGCAGAAGACCAAATTTGCAATATACAGGATGTCTCACGTAACTGGTTATTTAGAACTTTCGTATCTATTCGTAGAGCTTTGAAATTTGACGTCACTTAATTAACACCAATTATAGCATTCCATTTAAACTAACGAAGTTGTGGTCTACTTTCGGTAAACTAGAAATGGCGGCCATCTTAAATTTAACGAACCAGTTACGAGAGTAGCGATGGGTTGGGTTGGGTCTTAAAATAAATGTATTTTCCAAGAAAAACATAACATATATTCGCTATTCTTATCAAAAACATTTTAAATCTGAAGTCAAAATAACGATTACAAAATTATTTCGAAACCTTGTTTGATTTTAGACCTAGAGTTCTTCGTCTGTTTCGTCTTCGGAGGCAAAGACACCATCCGTATACACCATATACAGTGGATAGTCCTCTGTACTTCCTTCGATGGGTTTGTTTGTAGTTGCCTTTGTTTGTTCCCCCGTTTCTGTTACTTCAGAATTCCTTAATTTCCAATTATTGGCAATAAACGTAATTAACAACAACCTTACTCAGATTGGAGGTGCTACACAGACCCTTCCACCATGCAATTGGATTCATGTTTACTACACTGGTCCACAAGAATCTTTTTGCCTACAATCTATCATTTAATTTATAGTCTGCCATTACATCCAAGTACATTACCTCCGACGGTGATAAACTGCTTCCTCTAGAACAAGGATTCAGTAATCTTCCTCTTCCTCAGATGTGCAAAAATTTGGAATGCCATTTTGAATGCAGCCAATCATTTCTGCCCATTACTATACGTGACACACGCTGTATATACATATATGTATATATTAAAATAATTAATATTTAAATTTAACATTGTGGATGTGTTTAAAATGAACTTAATAAAATGAAATAAATTTTAGGATGAAGATGTAAAGAAATCATCAAATATTGTAAACAGTTCCGTTAGGTATTCCGGCACGAACTTGTCTTCCCCCGAATCAGCATATTCCACAGGTTATTCTACAGATGGAACATCTCCAGGTGCTCCACCAGAATATTATATTAATATTAGAACAGGTATAGTTATAATTAAGAAAAAGTGTAGTTTGAATAATAATATCGCGTAAATATTGATAATCAGGTACGCGATATTTTTCATCTGGCACAGAAAAAGAACCCCCAAGAACCCAAAACAATAACATATCATTGGTTCCTAAAGAATCGGCCAAAGCTGTTTTGGTGCAAACGCCGAAACATCAAAAGTCTGTTGAAAATGATTATTATTCAACATTAGCCGTTAGAGTAAACGGCGACTGTACAACTGTTTCCATGGCAAGTCTAAACGCGTCATAAAAAATATTGTTTTTAACTCAAATTTAAATTTTTTAGACCCAAGATTATAACCGGTGCAAAAATCAACAAACCAAAGTCGCCCTACATAATAATTTACCATCGGTTCCTCGAGTCGCTGAAGTTATCGTCAATTCGAGCATTACATCCCCGAGGCAAAGAAACCGCATCAGAACAAATCCATGGCTTCCAGGATCAAATTTAAGTCCTTGCAAAATTAACCCAAACCCACATTCCACTTCAAAAGTTCATGTTGCTAATAATAAGTAAGATTATATTGAATGATTTAATTTTTTTTTATATTATGCATAGCACAATTGTATAACACCTAGTAGTTAATAATTAGTTACTTATTTTTAACACCAAATTAAACTAGAATGATGCAATTTCTGATGAAACCGATACTACTTTTAAGTCGCGATGGAGGTCGGTGTTTCTTATATACCAAGGTGTATGTGTATATGTCTATTTTAGTTTTAATACTTGCTTGTATATTAGCAACTTATTTCTTAGTGATAGCGTTGATTTTCTGCCAATAAGCCAGTATAGGTGTCTAAATTTGATATCAAGTTCCTCACGTTTTTTTTTGACGTGAGCTTTCCATTTGGTCCAGCTTTCTATTGAATTTAAGGCCAATTGTAACTTATTTGCTGCAAGTACTTCATTTTCTGCAACAGCCAAAATCGCTGTGTCATCTGCGAATGTAGCTGTTAAAGTTTCTGGTACCTGAGGAAGGTCGAATGTGAGTACTTGAGGAACTCCGGCTCGTATTTCATGCAGTGGTGAATAAGTGTTTTCGTATTTTACTCTAAAACATCGATCAGAAAGATACGATTTTAATAGTTGACTATTCGTTGATGGTAGTATTTGGTCTAGTTTGTTATTCATGTCTCATTTTCGTTACTGCTCGGAGACTTGTTCTTTCGCCAACTTCCAAACTCCTTAGTGTGCATCGCTTACTATCATAGGTCAATAGGCTTGCATGCTCTAAAATTGGTCTACAAATAGTCTTATAAATATGCGCAGCGCATTTGATGTTAATGCCTTCTGGAACATCATTTTGATATCAAAGATTATACCCAGCTATTTGATGTTCGCTGTTTAATGGTATTAGAAATTGTGTTTTTGAAGCTTTTATGTTAATTCTCCAGGAAGCACCATATAGTTATTTTGTTAGTTGCTTCTTGTAATGTTACTATCGCTGTTTCAAGTTTCTTTCCATGCGCTATTAGTGCAACGTCGTCGGCATATAGCATAGATAGTGCGGAAATTTTCATCATGTCATATGCAAAAGCATTGTATAGTATTGGTGAGAGCGGCGAGCCCTGAGGAAAGGACGATCTTTTCAAAAATTTGACAGTAATTTAAGTAACTCAGGTGGAACGTTTAATTTGTGTAATTTGTACATCAGACCATTATGCCACACTGAGTCAAACACTTTTTGTATGTCTAGAAAAAGAGCTGCTGATTTTATTTGCTGCAAGCGACAAATGTGTAGATTTGAAGTAAGAATAGCTAGTCGATTTCCCTGATCTAAATCCAAATTGATGATTAGCAGTCGTTTTTTAATAAGATTTTCAAACATTTTCCCGATGACAGAAAGCAACGATATAGGACGATAACCAGAAGGCGTGTATTGATTCGGGTCCCAGTTTTCAATTCATTCGGAAAGTATTGATTTTGGAAATAAAAGTTGAATATGTCTCTTCCATGTGCATGAGTGTTAGGATGTAATTGTCAAAAAATTGTTCGTGTCAGCTTATCATAGCCGGCCGAAGTATTTTTTTCCCTTGCTTAACAATTCCCAGTATTCATCTTCGTCGACATTCAAACTGTTACTAGAAATTTGTGTTGTGTTGTCAAACGCAGTAAACCAGTCTTCAATCTGATAATTGATTGTAAAGATAACTGATTTAAAACATTCTTCGAGATGTTTAGCATGCACTTGTTCCTTTTCGAAATCAGTGTTACAGCTGGAGCTATCAGATGGATGTATAAGATAAACGAGCTAGATGTTTTTTTGTATTTTGATAGGTTTTTGACATCATTCCAGAAAGATTTTCCCTTATTTTGGTTGATATTATTACAAGCTTCAATAAATCTGGAAGATCTGAATTGCCATATTAACTTATGAATACTTTTATTAACCTCATTAATTCTCTTCTTGGTGTCAACATCTTCAGTTCTTCTGAATTCGCTGTACATGCATCTTTTACGTTTAATTAACGTTAGGATATAAGGAGGGAGTGGGAAGGAGTACTTTTTCCTTTTTGAGGACTTCCATTGCTATTTCAATAGTATTCGTTATTCTATGCACTTGGTCTATTGTTGCATGTTTATTCCGAAATCCAAATTGATGTGAGCGGCCAATCTCGTTACCGCGACCTATAAGATGTATTGTAACTTTAGCCCTCCAAAGGTTTAGGGCAAATGTAGGTCCTTGATGAACCTTAGTATTGTCCTGAGGTCTTGAACCTTTATGTCGGTAGGTGTCAAGAGAGTTTTACCGAAAATGTTGTGTCTTAGACTCTCACGACGCAATTGCGCAATATATGTTCAGCAGTTAGATCCCCTTTGCTGGCGCATCAAACCTCTTTGGTTTTGTTTTGCGACGAAGTTATCATACTCTTCGCTTATCTGTGACCTAGAAGTTCTTTCCAGCATAAGGCTACCTTTGAGACCTCCCAATTGTTGATTATTTGTTTTAGGTGGCTTTTCTGTGACCTGGAACCCACCATAGGGTAACATCATTGCCCCTAGCGAGTTCTCTTAGGTTGCTGGTACAGTCTCTGATCAGAGCGGAGTCACACGTGTATGCTTGAATTGCCTGTGAAAATGTTTATGGATGCACCTTTCTGCCCCTTCTGTAGGTTCAAAGCGGTGCAGAAGTTTATAGCAAGAACTTGTGCTTGGAAAATTGTTATGTCTGGTCTGAAGGGCAGTTTAATGTGGCTATTTGGTCCACTGATGCCCATACCTACTCCGGATCTAACTGTTTTTGAAGCATCGGTGTACTCCTCTTTTTAGTGGAGCCCAATCATCCCTGCTTCTAAGTATGACCTTATACATCTGGTTGAAATAAAATAAATTTAATTTCAATCAGGTGATTAAGACATGGGTCCTTGAGGATTTCGAGGTGTCCTCTGAGGTTATCCTGCATCAACTCATGAACTCATGAAGCCGCCTCCTTTTGTATATAGAGGGTGTTTTTTTAAGCTAGATAGAACTTACGAAAGGGTTAACTGTCAAACGAACTGTGATACTGCGCTCACTTTTTGATATTTATGATCAGTATACTCTGGCAAATCATCATGAACAGATTGACGCTTGAACAACGCTACCAAATTATCCAGATTTACTTTGAAAATCAGTCATCAATTCGCATAACTTATAAACGACTTCGTGATTTGTATGGTGCACATAATCGTTCATCTGAGCAAGCCATCCGTGGAACTGTGGATAGATTTCATACCACATACTCTCTAAATGATGCAATAAAATCAACACGTCGAAGAAATGTGCGTGCTGAAGAGAATATCGCCGCTGTAAACGAACGCGTGGAAGAAGATTCAAATTTATCGATTCGTCGTCGGTCGCAGGAATTAGGGCTTTCTCCGTCCACTACGTGGAAAATTTTGCCCAAAGATCTTGGCCTATACCCGTTTAAGATCCAGCTGGTGCAGGGATTAAACCCACGAGACCATCATATGCGTCGTTCTTTCGCCGATTGGACTCTAGAGCAGTTGGAAACTGATCCGATATTTTATCGCAAAATTGTGTTCAGCGATGAGGATCATTTTTGGCTTGACGAGCCGCATATGGAGTGAAACCAATCCACTACAGACTCCATTACATCCAGAAAAATGCACCGTTTCGTGTGGTTTGCACGCAGTTGGCATCATTGGACCTTATTTCTTCAAAAATAGAGTCGGAGCTCGCGTTACGGTCAATGGAGATCGTTACCTCACCATGATCAATGATTTTTTGTTTGAAACTATGGATGATATTGATCCGGGCGAAATGTGGATTCATACGTGCCATACAGCGACCGCAACCATCGACTTATTGAAATCAAAATTTGGCGATAAGTTGATTTCGAGAAATGGACATGCCAATTGGCCTCCAAGGTGGTGCGATATATGCCCAAAATCATTTTTAAATGTTAAATGCCATGAATTGATCTTTCGATCAAAAAAATTTTTTGGTTTAAAATTTAATTTTTTGTGTTACTTTTTTCAATTTAAAGTTCTATCGGGCTTAAAAAAACACCCGTTATAAATGGAGCGGTATGAGACCGAGTAGGGCTTCTAAAGCAGCCGTCGGACAGGATCTCATTGCACCCGTTATGTTAAGACATGCTAACCGCTGGATTTGTGCCAGCTGTTGTTGTGCTGTCTTATGTGTTATTTTAGGTAGATCTAGTTTACCATGATGACCTTTTTCCTCACCTTATCTATGTGTGAGTTCCACTTTAGTTTACTGTCTAGTATTACCCCTAGGTATTTAACTTAAGTTTTGAGGTTAATAGTCCGGCTTTTAATGGAGGGTGCTTTTATTTCGATTTTATTGGGATTGATGCTTCTACACCAAGTACTGGTGAGTAGTAGCTTTCTGCATTAGTTTATTTATGATTGTCTCATATTTACCTCGGATTGTGATTATCAGGTCTTCAGCATACACTTGTAATAGAGCTGATAGCCTTCCTCTTGGGGACATCCTCTTAGCGCCTTTATAGTCAACGACTCGCCTCCCAGACTGGCTGTGATATGCCGACTTTTTAATATGGCTATACACCACTTGATTGTCGACGGATGTATATCTTTTACGGTTAGAGCCTTCTCTATAGATTCATAGGAGGTGTTATCAAACGCACCCATGTCTATGAAAGTACCTAGGGCTATCTCTTTGGTTGTAATTGCCTCCTCTAAAGTGCTAATCAAAGTATGGAGAGCGGTAATTGTTGATTTTGCTTTCGGGTAAGCATGCTGGCTAGGGTGGAGTGGATTAGTGACAAGCACTCCATTCCTAAGGTATTGATCGATTACCTTTTCCATCCCTTTGAGGAGAAATGAAGTTAGGCTAATTGGTCTCTATGCCTTGGTCTGTATTACCACCTTTAGGTATGAAGACCACCGTTACTTTCCTCCATAGTGTGGCTACAAAGCTGTAGCTAGCTATATATAGGGATATTATTACTGGGAGAAACTCTTCTAACCCTTTTTGCAGAAAAATAGGCAGAATTCCATCTCCTCCAGGCGATTTTAGGGGCTTGAAATTAAAAATAGCCCACCTTACTCTGTTGGGTGTAAAAATGTAAAAATGGACGAGTTATGTCCATTACTTCAGGGTCGGCATCTGCGTGGGGGCAGACTTTTGAGGGAGGAAAGTGCGTACTCAGTATATTTAGATCAGTGTTGTGATCTTTTGCCAAGATCTTATGCAGACGAGCAACTATAGGAATATTGTCTATGCCTTTTTCTTTTGGCTTTGCCGATATCCAAGTTATATTCCGTTAGGGCTTTCCTATAGAAGTCCCATGTTTGCTCGAGTTTGGAATTCCTGACTTTATTATATGGTCTTCTTACCATGATTCGCTGTTTTTCAAGGTCCTTATTTCACCAAGGTACATTGGATTGTGCTCTTTTGTGTATTTACTTATATTTAGTTTTTGTATTTCAGTATTGGCATCGTCAGTAAGGTCTTTTAAGTAATTTTGAATATTATTTTCTTTGTGGCTATCTGTTAATGCTCTTTTTATAATAATTACACTTCCACCTCGAGCCGCATTACTCGGGTGAATTCTCGTGTAAAGTGAATTTCGGAGATTAGATATATCAATATTGTTTTAAGTATTATTGGTAGTGTGTTTTGATGCTGTCGAAGACCATTGGAATTCCACAGTATTATTTTTAGTTGCTGATTTTGTTTTTTTTTGAATCGCTGATCCAGTGTTTACCAGCACATTTAACACATCTCGGATTTTTGTGGCAGTAAGCTTTGATGTGACACCTTTTGCACTGCGGCATTTGTTTTGGATTTCTTTACTCTTCGATTTTGACACACATTCCTAATATGTTTGTTATTTCATGGATTCTTTTTACATCCTATGACGGTGCAAAATAGATGCACTTTCTAGGTACACTTTCAGATTTCTGGTTTGCTTATTTTCATAAGTTGACCAGCACAAATTCTTTTCAGTAAGCATCTTTGATGCTTCTCGGTACTTTTCTTCCGAATTAAGATTCCAAGGTTATTGCGCATTACGTGTTATTTATTGTTATAAATCGCGTGTATGATTTATCACTATCAAAAATATTGTACTGTTCACACTATTTTACATTATTTATATCATCTATAAACGATTTATAAAGCCTAGAATAAAACACTTGATGCACGATCGCAAAACACATCCGCTCTTTAGCGATGCACAAATCGAACTTGCTCATACTTGTCTTGCTATTTTAGTGCTATGTTGGTTGCATACCCGACTGGCATCACTTTATTACTGAATGATTTAATGGTTATTATTTTATGTTTAAAATTTAGTTCCCCACATTATTACGATAATTCAACATTAAGAAGTCCCATAAATAAACCTCGGCAAAGAAAAGGTTCAACATCATCAACTTGTTCTTCGTTGAGCGCGTCAAGTTTGAATTGGAGTGGAAACCTACGAAGGAAACCATCTGATAGTGAAGAAGATTGCACCTTAAATGAAATGATGGGGAAATACGATGAGAGTTACATTTACGAGAAAGAAACTGACATTTTAAGTGATAGCGATCCAACGGATTGCGACACTGACATAGATACGGGGCAAGATGGCGGAGATGAAGAAGAACCTCTCGAACGAGAATTTGATTTTATCGACAACAGCTCGTTTCTGGAGTTCAACATGAAAGATGATCGAAATACAGGTCATTGCACTTATTATAACTTTGAAACGCATAGGAAGTTGTCGAAAAGGAGAACTTCACGGAAAAGTAAACAAGAATTACCTGGAACTTGTAGGCAAAACAGAAGAAGGTCGTCGTCTTCGAAGAAACGGCAGAAAAATGATGTTAAATCAGAAAATGGGCAGTTTGATGGCAGTAGAAGTGCAGGCGCAACTCCGATTTCCAGCCGAAAAACAAAACAGCACCCTATATCAAAACTAGCAATCGAAGATCATCTAAAAAGGCGGTCCAATTCGGTATCTTTAACTCGAGATCCAGTAAATACATTCGACCAAAGAGACAAAGAAGCCGATCGAAAATACAAAGAGCTCATTGTTGAAGCAGAACATATTCTTATGAGCATGAAGCAAAGCGGTTCATCACCCAGAAGACTTCCTGGTCCAGCAAACAAACGCGTCGAACTGCTCAAAACCGAATCAGCAAAGGCAGAAATGTTGAAGATGAAACAGCCAGTTGACGATGGCTCGAAAATTCCGTCCAGCAATTTTATCAGGCACAGTCCCAAAAGGAACCACATCACTAATTTTATCAACAGCAACGTACCAGTTACCATGAAAAAGCAAGATGAGATATATTCACCTGGCACGAAGAAGAAGCAATACAAGCAAGGATCAAGAAGTCCTAAATACAAAAGACGATCCAGGAAAATTGTTGAAAGTAACAGTTCCGATGAAGAAATCCAAAAAAAAAGTTTAACCGTTCGAAACACTGAAAACAACGCATTTTGTTGCCCACAAAGCGAACCGGTTAAAAGAAAAGTTTATCATCAATCAAAAACTGTTGCTTTTAATTTAAATTACGAAAGCATTTGCAATTTAGGTAAAAAAATGAATTAACATAACTTTATTTGTCCACGACTACCTTATGAATGAGTTTTCTAAAACAAAATGGTAGTCATTTTTCACGGAGTGAATAATAATCATTATTCACGGGTAGCCATCTTGACCAGACTAATAATAATTATTTGAAATAACGTCAATTTAATTCAATTTTTTAGGAGTTTCTAAATGTTTGACATTAAAAAAACTTAAACAAATTCGTTTTTTCGTATGATTTAAGCATAAATTAATTAATTTTCGTAAAGCAAACGACGTTTTATAAAACTGACACTTAATTTTGACAAATTGTTGTGAAGTTGGTTACAGTTAGTAACATTGAATTTGTGTCACATTGACGTTTAATTCAAAAATTTATTTAAAAATAGTATATTATTCAACAAGCGTATAATGGCAGCTGTTACCCACGAAGATGAAAATGTAATCTGAGTGGGTAACATCCATTATATGCAAGTTGAATACTATACTTTATCTACAACTATTTAATTTTGAAAAAAAAATCAAAAAAAAGAAAAAAAAAAATTTTATAGACATTTCAGACATAACCTCAATATAAGAAAGCTGTCATTTCTGTTAATATTTTATTCTTTGATTAGTAGGCCGTGTCAAAACTGTGGAATAATGGCCTCATTATTCAACACTTGAACAAATGTATAACGAATAGATAATTCAATAGTTGTAGATAAATTTATGGAATCAATTTCAATAGTCGTGGACAAAGTATAGTATTCTACTCGCATATAATGAGCTATTATTCACTCAGGTTAATTATGCCACTCGCTACGCTCGTGACATAAACTTAACCTTCGTGAATAATACCCCTCATTATATGCTCATATAATAATATACTATTATTGATTTTACATGTATTTTTTTTAGAATCTCGAAGGCCTAACGAAAGAAGAAATAGTACAGATAATTTACGCCAACAAGTCCTATTGAATACAATAACAAACTTGAAACGGAGTTTGGAGAATCAATCGGCCTCTTTAAAACAAGTTTACAACAGCTCGCAGAACGTGAGGTTGTAAAAATATTTTTCTACAGCGTTTGTTGACTATTTGTTAATGCGAGTGTTAAGCGTAAAAAAGATAAGAACAAATATCAAAAAGAAAAAAAAAATCTGAAAAGTAGGGTCGTTATTTTTGTAAGCGATTTTCGTTTTGTGTCTTCCTAAGCTAAGAAGTTATTAAAAAAATTGGTGAATAACGACTCTTTAAGGTCTCTAAAAAAGAAACAAAAAGAATGTTAAAACGTTAGGAATTAATTTTATTCGTTTTTATTTAACTAAACGTGTGTAGAATCGTAGATCCGAATGTTTGGTTATTTATTTAAAATACTCGTACTGATATTAGGAGGCTAATTTATACGGATTTAGTGCAATGTAGTTCATATAGCAACGTTTAGATAGTGGACAACCGTAGTCTCGTCAAAATTGAGAATTATTAATTAATGGGAAATTATTGTTAAAGGTCTCGTCCAACTTTTTAATTGTGAAAGGTACTCTAGCAAATTCATTTTGTTAACAATAATTTTCTAATAATACCTTTTTATATTGAAACAGACTGATTAGGTCGTATTAAAACATCATTTTGTTTTATTCAATTCTAACTTTCCGTCAAATCTTGTGAAACAAACACAAAATATTGTTATTTGTTTACCCAATCAAGTTAAATAAACTATTGACAAGTTTTCCATCTTTTCTTTTCTTAATCCTCAATAATTAATATAACAACAGCTTCTCTATATTTATCTACATTTATAGTTTCCACCAAAAAGTTTTTCTTTGCGTTATTTTTGATTTCTAAATTTCACAATTTCTTCATTAATAATCCTTTCCTGAAAATTTTAATAATATTATCTGATAGTTTTTATATCATATCATAAACTACAATCTTTAAGCTTCAATTTAACATACATATCATATCAAATTTTTTTAAAATGCAGCCGATATGATTTTTTGAAAATTTCGAATTATTTTTGATGTATAAATTTCACAATTTCTATTTCAATAATTTTTTCATGGAAGTTTCAATAATATTATCTTATAGTTTCTATATCATATCATAAACTAGAATCTTTACGCTTCAATTTAACATACGTATCATGTCAAAATTCGTAAAAATACAATAGATATGATTTTCTAAAAATTTTGCGTTATTTTTGATTTATAAATAATTTTTTCCTAAAAATTTCAATAATATCATCCATAGTTTTTATACCATATCATAAACTGGATTCTTTAAGCTTCAATTTAACAAACGTATCATATTAAAATTCTTAAAAATGCACTCGTTATGATTTTTTTTTAATTTCGCCTTACTATTGATTTATAAATTTGACCATTTCTTCTTTGACAATTTTTTCCTGAAATTTTCAATAATATTATCTTATACTTTTTATATCATATCATAAACTAGAATCTTTAAGCTTTAATTTAACATACATATCATGTCAATATTCGTAAAAATACAGTAGATATGATTTTCTAAAATTTCGCGTTTTTTTTGGTTTATAAATTTAATCACATCTAATAATTTTTCCTGAAAATATTAATAATATGGTATCATACTTTTTATATCATATGATAAATTAGAATCTTTAAGCTTCAATTTAACATACATATCATATCAAGATTCATAAAAATACAGCCGATATAATTTTTTGAAAATTTCGCGTTATTTTTGATTTATAAATTTCACAATTTCTTCTTTAATAACCTTTTCCTGGAAATTTTAATAATATTATATCATAGTTTCTACATCACATCAAATAGTAAAATGTTTAAGCTTCAATTTAACATACATATCATATTATCATTCTCAAAAATACGATAGATATGATTTTTGAAAATTTCGCGTTTTTTTTGGTTTATAAATTTAATCACATTTAATAATTTTTCCTGGAAATTTTAATAATATGGTATCATACTCTTTATATCATGTCATAAACTAGAATCTTTAAGCTTCAATTTAACATACATATCATATCAAGATTCATCAAAATACAGTCGATATGATATTTTGAAAATTTCGCGTTATTTCTGATTTATAAATTTCATAATTTCTTCTTTAATAATCTTTTCCTGGAAATTTTAATAATATTATATCATAGTTTCTATATCACATCAAATAGTAAAATGTTTAAGCTTCAATTTAACATACATATCATATTATAATTCTTAAAAATACGATACATATGATTTTTTGAAAATTTTACGGAATTTTTAATTTATAAATTTGACAATTTCCTCTTTAATATTTTTTTCGTAAAAATTTCAATAATATCATCCTATACTTTTTATATCATATTATAAACTAGAATCTTCAAGCTTCAATTTAACATTCATATCATATCAAGATTCTTAAAAATACAGCAGATATGATTTTTTGAAAATTTCGAATTATTTTTGATGTATAAATTTCATAATTTCTACTTCCACAATTTTTTTCCTGGAAATTTCAATAATATTATCGTATACTTTTTATATCATATTATATACTAGAATCTTCAAGCTTCAATTTAACATTCATATCATATCAAGATTCTTAATAATACAGCAGATATGATTTTTTGAAAATTTCGCCTTATTATTGATTTATAAATTTGACCATTTCTTCTTTGACAATTTTTTCCTGGAATTTTCAATAATATTATCTTATAGTTTTTATATCATATCATAAACTAGAATCTTTAAGCTTCAATTTAACATACGTATCATGTCAAAATTCGTAAAAATACAATAGATATGATTTTCTGAAAATTTCGCGTTATTTTTGATTTAGAAATTTAATCACATCTAATAATTTTTTCCTGGAAATTACAATAATATTGTCTAATAGTTTTTATATCATAGCATAAACTACAATCTTTAAGCTTCAATTTAACATACATATCATATCAAGATTCATTAAAATACAGTCGATATGATTTTTTGAAAATTTCGCGTTATTTCTGATTTATAAATTTCACAATTTCTTCTTTAATAACCTTTTCCTGGAAATTTTAATAATATTATATCATAGTTTTTATATCACATCAAATAATAGAATGTTTAAGCTTCAATTTAACATACATATCATATTATCATTCTCAAAAATACGATAGATATGATTTTTTGAAAACTTCGCGAAATTTTTAATTTATAAATTTGATCATTTCTTCTTTGACATTTTTTTCCTGGAATTTTCAATAATATTATCTTATACTTTTTATATCATTTCATAAACTAGAATCTTCAAGCTTCAATTTAACATACATATCATATCATGATTCTTAAAAACATAGTCAATACAATTTTTTGAATTATTTCGTAATATTTTTAATCTATAAATTTCACAATTTCTTCTTTAATAATTTTTTCCTCATAATTTCAATAATATCATCCATAGCTTTTATACCATAACATAAACTAGATTCTTTAAGCTTCAATTTAACATACATATCATATCAAAATTCTTAAAAATATAGTCGTTATGATCTTTTTTTAATTTCGCCTTATTATTGATTTATATTGACCATTTCTTCTTTGACAATTTTTTCCTGGAATTTTCAATAATATTATCTTATAGTTTTTATATCATATCATAAACTAGAATCTTTAAGCTTCAATTTAACATACGTATCATGTCAAGATACGTAAAAATACAGTAGATATGAATTTCTTAAATTTCGCGTTATTTTTGGTTTATAAATTTAATCACATCTAATAATTTTTCCTGGAAATTTTAATAATATGGTATCATACTCTTTATATCATATCATAAACTAGAATCTTTAAGCTTCAATTTAACATACATATCATATTATAATTCATAAAAATACAGCCGATAAGATTTTTTGAAAATTTCGCGTTATTTTTGATTTATAAATTTCACAATTTCTTCTTTAATAATCTTTTCCTGGAAATTTTAATAATATTATATCATAGTTTTTATATCACATCAAATAATAGAATGTTTAAGCTTCAATTTCACATACATATAATTATAATTCTTAAAAATACGATAGATATGATTTTTTTGAAAATTTCTAATTATTTTTAATTTATAAATTTGACAATTTCTTCTTTAATATTTTTTTCGTGAAAATTTCAATAATATTATACTATACTTTTTATATCATATTATATATTAGAATCTTCAAGCTTCAATTTAACATTCATATCATATCAACATTATTATAAATACAGTCGATATGATTTTTTGAAAATTTCGAATTATTTTTGATGTATAAATTTAAAAAATGTAAAATTTAAACTTTTCTTGAAATATTAATAATATTAGTTTATTATAGAGAGTTAAGATAATTAAGGATTATTTTTTTATAATAATTTAAAAAAATATATATATAAATTAAAAGTTTATTAATTTGTTTTTCAATCTTTTAGGAATCGAAAAACTATAAATAAATAAGTACAACAAATATACATTTGATATTTATTATGTCCTCACAGTGTCATATTAGTGTGTACTACATAATAATGGTATATATAATGTGCAAATAGAATCCGAATGTGTTTTTCGTTTATATGCGTAGAGCGGATTTCAATTCTCTCTTAATTTCTTCATATTTTTCATTGTCAACCAGTTTTTTGTTTTTAATTTTTTGTTATATCACACGATCGTATGATGACGAATCTCGTTTAAGTCTTACAGCCGATTCCGTATTAAATTCTTTTTAAAATTAAATACAGAATTTTCTATAATAATCTAAGACTTCCATTTTACGTTCTTTTTGAGTTTAATAAAGTCATAAATTTGTTACATTTTTTTAATTAAATTTAAAAAGGGATTTGCAGATTTTTTTAATACTACTTTTATTTGGTGATAGTTTTTTTTTGTTGTTGTATTTTTTTAAAGCTATGTTCATATCTAAGAAAAAATAGCCCTTATTTTTATTACTGGTACTTACATCATTTTTTTAAATTTTATTATTAGTATTTTTTGTTCGCAACAGCGTATATTTTTTTTTGCTTTATATGTTTCCACCTACTATCTACAGTTACGTTTGTATTTTTTGCAATTTTTGTTTTTTTTTTGTTGGGAGGGGTTCGACGAGAGTTTTCCTTTTATTTATTTGTTTTATATACACAAACACTAACTAATCACGTTTAATTCGAATTATCGCCAACGAATCCGGAAAATAATAGTTAAAAAATGAATTAATTAATTCGAATTAAAATTGAAAAATTAAAAAGATTTCGTCATCTAAAGAAAGGTGTTACGTTTTCTTCGCGAAAATTTTTGAATGTTAAAGTGATAATCGGAATGATGTTTTCTGTATATTAATCATTAAAATTTGAAAAGATGTGCGGAGGGAGAGAGGGAAGGGGCGATGATTGTTCCACGACGCGGGATTTTCTTTTTACATTTTCTTATTATTTTTTTACCCGATAGATTTTCCTCCTAATACTTTTTTTAGGCCGTCGCGAGCGGCTGTTATTGTCATGTACGGCTGAAGCTGATATCCGGAAGGGTTTGGGAAGTGTCCAAACGGAATTTGTGCGTATCCCATTTTTTAAATTATTGAGAAAAAAGGAAATGACTAAGAATCGCGCTGATTCAAGGAATAAACTTATTTATTAATAATTTAAATAATATACGTTATTTATAGTGTGTTAATTAATTATCGGTTATGCAACCAACACTGCAAATCGCGTATTGCAATACCACTACTGTGATATTGGTTGCATAACGTGATAATTAATTAACACACTATTATTATTAAGTTTATTTTAATAAATAAATTTACTTTTAATCTTGAATCTAGAAGTGTTTTAGCCATTTCCGATATTTACTTAACTGGATATCTTATTCTGTTCCATAAATAGAATAGATACATCTACATATTTATTTTTATTATTTTTTTGTGACATTTTAAAAAATAATAAATTTCCTGTTATTTGGATGTTAATGAAATGTAAATGGTGAAGGTGGAGAGTAGGCCGTCGAGTTTAATTTTTATTATTTTTGGGGTCGTCGAATGAGACGCTCTCGACCCTTAACCTTGGCGTGGGGTTTCTGCGTCAGTTTCGTTGGTCTGTTGCGCTAAAGATTTATATAGAGGCGAGTTTACGAAACGTGGGTAACTGTCGCGGTGCATCAGGGTGTAAATTTGCAACTGAGCTTCGTCGAACGTATGCGGCGAGGGCTCGACCATGTTCCGATTAACGATCTCGCGCACCCTTGAGTCCAGCGACACCTCCTTCGGCGACAATATCGAAATATAATCCTCGTAGATGACCCTAGCTTTCGGTTCAACCGCTTCCGGGTTCGTCTCCTTCTTTAAATCCTCGCACGCCAACCAAAAGAGGATGTTCTCCTCCGAGTACTCGCACCTCAGGAACTCCCTGAACACTTTTCTACCCGCCGAACTCTTCATCAGCTTATCGAACGACCTTCCCCAACTTCGTATCTCATCCAAAGAAGGACTACAATTTTTAATTATTTATTTATTAACACTATTTTATAATTAATTTACATTTTTATACTTACACTGGCTCTCCATCGCATGGAACCAAAGGATCATGCTTATGAAGACCATCCTCGTTCGATTTTGATGATGTGTTGCTACGAAACAATTCAATCAAGTCAAGCATAAAATTTTACGCAAAAATTCCTTACCAAATACAACTACAACAGCAACACCAGTACAGGCAACATGGCTTCTTCGGGTAGCCTGTGGGAGAGTGACAATGAGATGTTAGTTTAGAGTTGGATCGAGCCAGGCTTGGATTCGACCCTCTTAGACGACAACTTGCAGTCCCCGCCCTGTTTTCTGGAACTAGCTCAGTTAAACCGCAGGACATCTAATAAAACAAAATTAAATATGTATATTATATACACAGTGTTAATTAATTATCGCACCCGACGTCATCATTGCAAGTATGCAACCAATATGACAAAATTCAATCATACGCAAATCGCGTATTGCAATACCAATACTGTGATATTGGTTGCATACTTAGTTGTCACAGCAGATATGTTGTTTATTGATTTATACACATTTAAAATACTATTATCTGCCATATCGATATTTATGCATCTGAGAGCAAAAGTGATAGACAATAATATTGTTAAGAATAAAATTTTCTTCTAAAATCTTTTTTTATTGTGGCTTCTCAGACATTGTCTGGAATTTGTGCAAGTTCAAGATCTGAGCTGCACTCAGTCAATTCTCCCAAAATTAAAATTCATTATGTTTTGTAACATCATGTTTCAGACTGACGTTTAACAGTTTTCTTTAAAGCATTTTTTAGTAATTCCTATCGTGATGTTGAACGTAAGAGTATATGTTTTCAATTATTCCAAAACATGTTATTAAACATCCTACTAAATTTAAAGAGTGATAGCCGTCTTGAGAAACGTGCATCTAAACCCGAATGTTTCTAGTTCTAATGTTAGTTCTAGTTTTACACTAGCACTATCACTGGAACTAACACAAGACCTAGAACTAGAATCATTCGGGTTTAGCCGTCTTGAGAGACGTGCGGCTAAACCCGAATGTTTCTAGTTCTAATGTTAGTTTTAGTTTTACACTAGCACTATCACTGGAATTAACACAAGACCTAGAACTAGAATCATTCGGGTTTAGCCGTCTTGAGAGACGTACGGCTAAACCCAAATGTTTCTAGTTCTAGGTCTAGTGTTAGTTCCAGTTTTGCGCTAGAACTAACAGAACACCTAGAACTAGAATCATTCGGGTTTAGCCGCACGTCTCTCAAGACGGCTAAACCCGAATGATTCTAGTTCCAGGTCTAGTGTTAGATCCAGTTTTGTGCTAGAACTAACACAACACTAACAAGACATGTTTCTAGGCGGCCGGCAACATCTCGAATTTTCCTAGTGTAAGTTTTGCTTAAAACTTTGCAACCCTTCTTTTTGGTGCTTCAATTTGAAAACGCTCCTCCGAATTAAAAAACAGACGATAGTAGTGGATCAAACTGACCTACAAGTTTGACATTTGTACCATATTTTCAACATGATCACATAGAGGAAGATTTTGTATAATTAGATGCTATAATTAGTTACAAATGATGACTGTGCAGCGGAGTTTGATGTAATAAAATTTAATTAACAAACAAGCTCATCAATTTCATCAACAAAGCTCAATTTGCTAAATATTAGTGAAAACCGCATCTCAAATTATAGAAGACAATGTTAAAAACTCGAGTGCACCTCATCGAGAAAAACAGGCCTTACCGTTGTCGAGATACAGCCGCTCCGTACCATTAACGGGACACCTGTATATACAGGTGTCCCACCTAAGTTGCCTCGATCCATAGCCGAGTTATGATTGCGTTTTTCAAAAAATGTTTCAGATAAAAGTTGAATCGAATCATATCGTACATATTTTAAAATTAGTTTCAATAATGGCGGACTTCCGCTTCTACCGGAAATGGATATCAACTTTGTTATTTTAAATGGAACACCCTGTATATTATTGCATTTTTGGATTCTTTGTGAGATTTCAATGGTACTTTGTTAAAGATAACTTAGGTCTAACGGATTTTAATCATGGATAACTTAATTTTTTAAATGGAACAATATACCAGTTTTTGCATAACTGAATGTAAAATTTAATTTCCTTTCAGTTTTATACAGGTATCATGGTGTTTATCTTCAACGGTTTTGGAGATATTTCCGATTTTTCAGTTTTTTACGATAGATATGTATTGCGAAGTAGGTTTAGGACTGGTAAAGTGGAAGGTGGTCGACGCTTTGCAATACTATTAAAAGTTGAAGTAGGCTTGGAAAACAAACTAGGTAAACTGTCATTGGTGCTTCACGCATTAGAACTGGTTTTCAAAGTGTTATTTGTTAACATAATACACTGTTGGAAATAATTCACGAGCACACCCTGTATAATCTGAACGCGTGTGTCTAGCGCAATAAAATTTGGTATGGAAGTAATACTAAAGTAGTGTAACTTACTCTCCCATGGAGAGCGGCACAACTCTGCTGGGAGGAGAAACATCAACGTACAACTGTATTGTGGCGAGAGGGATAACGTTGAAGTCTCCGACCAGTCATGTCCCAAACATGTTCGATCGGATTCAGATACGGAAAACGAGCTGGCCATGAAAGCATTCGTATACGGTGCTCTTCCACAAAGGTCTGATCAACACGCCTGATGTGCGGTCGGACGTTGTCGTGCATGTATAGCAGACCTGGACGCCGCCGAACTTTGGAAAGCACAACGGACCGTAGCACCTTATCTACGTATCGTTGACCCGTCATGGTTTGCTATACACGCAGCAGACGTGTAGGTCCACCATGTATAATCGCACCCCATACTATAATGCTCGATTGTCGGTGGATAGGGCGTTCTTGCACGCACTGCTCGAGTAGATGCTCACCACGTCTCCGACGAACTAAAATTCGCGCATCACCGGTGCTCAATTCGAATCTTGATTCGTCGGAAAACAAAATGTCCCTCTATTATTATTATTATTAAACGCCGCCGTGCAGTTCGCGTAGTGAGGGCGCCTTCCCCTGCCGGTGTCCAAACAGCTCATGCTAAAGCGCTAAGCACATGAGCGCGATCCTCGCGTGCTGTGGCCGCAGCTGAAGGTACAGTCATGTTCACGGGAAATGCACACTCAAGATCAAGCGCTGTTATGAGATCCGACATGGCGCTGGCTAAACGGGCTGAGCCGAACGCCCACGAGTCACGAGCTCGGCTCAGCCCGTTTAGCCAGCGGCATGTCGGATCTTACAACAGCGCTTGACCTTGAGTGTGCGTTTCCCGTGAATATGTCACTTCGGTCTCCATAGCGACGGAATGTTCCACTTGGAAGGGCGGCTCAGTCAACAATGCCGCGACGGAACAACTCGAAACTCGCTGAATAAACTCGTCTAGAGTAAACCTTTGTGCTCCGCAAATATTATGGATTGATCTTCACGCGTTCAGATTATATGTATAGGGTGTGCTCGTAAATTATTTCCAACAGTGTAATTAAAAATGGCACGCGGAAAGAATTAGTAGTTTTAAGAGTTTACGCACAACAATATCCAGATAGGAGGCATCCAAATAGGAGGGCATTTCTGTCCTTACTGGAAAGATTTACAAATACGGAATCCGTAAAATGTACTAAGCGCAACCGTAATAAGTTGCACGTTAAGCTGTGCAAAAAAATGCAGAATCTAGTGTGCGTGAAATAAGTGGAGGACAAAGATCAGTAAATCTTCGGTACACAGGATTTTAAGAAAACATAATTATTATCCGTATCGAATCCAGTTGCACCAGGAAATTAGTGAAGGTGATTTCGAAAGCAGGCTGTTATTCTGTCAGTGGGCAATTGAAAGAACTAATCTTGATGCGAATTTTTTCGAACAATCTTTTCGGATAAAGCTACCTTTCACAAAAATAGGTTTGTGAATCGTCACAATTGTCATTATTATGATACAACAAACCCCATCGATAGCATGCAACGCATAACCAGTACAGATGGTCAGTGAACGTGTGGGCAGGTGTCATTGGAACGCATATCATAGGCCTTTTCTTTCATAATCAACGTTTGACGGGTAGGATTTATTTAGAATTTTTAGAAAATAATCTGGGCGTTCTAATATTCCACTAGCTATTCGTCAGTGGATGTGGTTCCAACACGATGGTTTGGAAATTTTGAACATTTGATGCAATAGTGTTTTTTTACTTGCGTTTTGTTTCCAGTGGTCTTGTTGGCCACTTTTTAAGCATGCCAGTAACATTTCTGCCAGTCCCTAGTCTGGTAAAATGTGAGGGGAACTTGGCCGGCGCTCCGAAATAAGTATCTATCGTTAAAAACTGAAAAATCGGGAATATCTCCAAAACCGTTGAACATAGACCATGATATCTGTATAAAACTGAAAGGAAATTAAATTTTACATCGAGTTATGCAAAAACTACATTTAAAAAAATTAAGTTATCCATGATTAAGAGCCATGTTCAGCCATCGTTTCAAATTTTTGTATGTTTGTTACATCAAAATTTCTATTTTTTTTATATAGCTTTTAGTGATGCATTTAGTTTTTTCAAAAAATGTCGCGTAACGTTTCTAAAATCACGTTTTAAAAAAATTTTGAATACGGAATGCATCACCAGGTAGTGAAATGTAAAGTAAATCATATTTTAGTCGGTTTTGATTGCTTGCGGAGTATAAATATGGCAACATCGCAAATATTGCTAAGTTCCAAACATTGCCCGAGATATAGTGGAGCTCGGTATTCTAGCTTCTTAATTTACGTAGAATGCAAAACAAAGTGTGGCAATAAATTTTTAATAATGAGAATATTTGCACAATTATCTGATCTAATTATTAAAATAAATACAAAATAAAAATATAAAGAAGCACCAAAGGTATATTTTAAAATAAATAATACAATATAAATAATAAAAAAAATATAAACTCATAAAAAACTAACAATTTTCTGCTATAAGGGTACTAAAATTTTACATCATTGTAAAGAGAAAAACAATCTCTATCAAATGAGCCTAACGAATTCGTTGCTCATTTATTTTCTGAAATCTAAACAATTGAATGCTGTCTTATTATGGCAAATAAAATATTAAACAACTTTTGTATAAAATGTTTTTTTATAAAGTTGATAATTACCAAAATATATACTACATTCCATAAATAATGGACACCCTGTATACAAATATATGGTGTTTCTGTAAGTGGTGGCATAATTTCAACCTAGAGCAAAAATTATGACAACTAGTGTAAACATTTTTAATCTTTAAATACAGGGTGATTTATTCGCCCTGTATTCATCAAAGTTTGACATATAAATAAAAAATAAAAAATGTTAGTGAACATATGTCCTATTTCAATTATCTACGAAATTATAACACTTTAAAGTTTTCTGCAGCGAATTTATTAATAGTCAGTAAAATCAAACATTCAACAAAAGTATGCTGATATACCGGGTGTTTCATTTAAAATGACATGTGCTTATATCTCAAAAACAAAAACTCGAATCGAAAAAAGTTTCAAGTAAACATTTTTTGGTGAGAAGGGAGACACATTGTACACATGAACAGAATTTCTTTCAGGGTTGCCTAAAGACCCTTCTAACGTCATTTTTAATTTTTCAAATGGTACATATACTTTTTTCTTTCAAAGTCTTAAACAACTTGACAAACTGATTACATTTTGCTTAAAATATTTTTTCTTAAACTCTCCGTTATGAAGATATCAACAAAAACAAAAATAAAATAACAAGTTTCAAAATGTATTAAAAAATTAATTAATAAAAAAAAACGATTTAATTAATCGTATAATAATATTAAAATTCTTCTTAACTTTTGAAATCGTCTTAGAACATTGATTAAAAATTTTTTTTTAATGTTTGTAAATCGAGTAAATCATTGTGTCGGTTACGAATGAACAGAATCAAATAGCTGTTTTAGCAGCTGTAGATGTTAATCCTCATGTAAGTTGGCGTCAATTGTCAAAAGATTCAGGCATTTTATTAACGAGTGTACATCGGATTTTGAAACTTAATAAGTTTTTCCGTATCATGTCTATCTACACCAACAATTACATGGCGATGATTTCGAAAATCGTGTGCAATTTTGTACTTGGGGCATGGAAAAATTTGCCTTTTTCTTCAACGTACTATTTTCCGACGAATCCTCTTTCACCAATCACGGCCAAGTAAATCGTCATAACATGCACTATTGGTTACATGAAAATCCTCGTTGGCTAAAACAAGTTGATCATCAAAAACCATGGTCAGTTAATGTCTGGTGCGGCATTGTTGGCAATAAAATAATTTATTGATGGCAATTTGAACGGCAGAAAGTATCGGAATTTTTGTTGAACGATTTACCGTTTTTGTTGCCTCTGGAGCGAAGACTTGCGCTATGGTATTAGCATGATAGATGTCCATCTCATTATGCTCTAGCCTAAATGCTTCGCAATGTGCAGAGAATGTTTTCAATGAGAATTTAGAAATGTTTAGAAGTGAATGGTCATCATTTTGAGTATAAAGGTAACTTCATAAATTTTAATCAATGTTCTAAGGTCATTTCAAAAATGAAGAAGAATTTTAGTACTATTTTAGGATTAATTAAATCGTCTTTTTATTAATTAAATTTTTTAATGAAATACTAGTAATAATAGCTATGTTCCAAAAAGCGACCCCAACTCGTATTCACATGGAGCGGTGTTGCCGCATTAGGCAACAAATTTTTCTAGCTTTCACAGTTTCGGCAATATTGCCAAATTTATAAGACGCTGCAAATGTCATTTTTTTTTTAAATCGCCATATAATTTAAAAACGATACCAGTTAGACCTAAAGTATCCTTAACAAAGTGCCACTGAAATTTCGAAAAGAATCCAAAAATGCAATAATATACAGGATGTTCCATTTAAAATAATGGCTATGGCTATGGACCGAGGCAACTTAGGCACCTGTATACAGGGTGTTTCGGTGACTCGGGGAACAAATTTAACCATATATATACTAGAGTGAAAATGATGACGATTCATGTAAAAAAAATTAGTAAAAGTCTTCAAATTTCGACGATACAGGCCATCAAAGTTAGGAAATTTTAACACATTTTTCCAAGTATCTTAAACACTATTTACAGTAAAGCGTTGAAATTTGGTACAGTGTAAATCAATGTCATGTAAAATCGTTAGGCAATTTGTGAATTGGATCGGTCATCGAGAACAATGCTGTACAGGTGTTCCTAAGGTTTGTTTGTCCAGAACTTTTTTATTCTATCATAACCGTACATTTATATTTGCAGTATCTAATAGCAAATTTAGTTTAGAAACATATTTATTATTTAGCAATTTAGCAAATTGAGCTTTGTTGATGAAATTGATGAGCTTGTTTGTTAATTAAATTTTATTACATCAAACTCCGCTGCACAGTCATCATTTGTAACTAATTATAGTATCTAATTATACAAAATCTTCCTCTATGTGGTCATGTTGAAAATATGGTACAAATGTCAAACTTGTAGGTCAGTTTGATCCACTACTATAGTCTATTTTTTAATTCGGGGGAGCGTTTTCAAATTTAAGCACCAAAAAGAAGGGTTGCAAAGTTTTAAGCAAAACTTACACTAGGAAAATTCGAGATGTTGCCAGCCGTCTAGAAACATGTCTTGTATTAGTTCTAGTGATAGTGCTAGTGTAAAACTAGAACTAACACAAGACCTAGAACTAGAAACATTCGGGTTTAGCCGCACGTCTGTTAAGACGGCTAACCCGAATGATTCTAGTTCTAGGTCTTGTGTTAATTCCAGTGATAGTGCTAGTGTAAAACTAGAACTAACACTAGTGATAGTGCTAGTGTAAAACTAGAACTAACATTAGAACTAGAAACATTCTGGTTTAGCCGCACGTCTCTCAAGACGGCTAAACCCGAATGATTCTAGTTCTAGATCTTCTGTTAGTTCTAGTGATAGTGCTAGTGTAAAACTAGAACTAACACTAGTGATAGTGCTACTGTAAAACTAGAACTAACACTAGACCGAGAACTAGAAACATTCGGGAATATACAGGAACTACAGAACTACAGAACTAGGAATATACAGGATGTTCCATTAAAACTTACTAATTTTAAAATATGATTCGGCTATGGACCGAGTTAACTTAGGTGGGACATCCTGTATATATTTCTTTTATTTCTTATTTTTACCTTCTTTGGAATAACTGTAGAACTGCATAATACCGTGGTTGAAACGACTGCTCCCATCCCTGAAAATATAATTAAAGAGAAAAAAAATTAATTAACCCCAAAATTGTATGATCATAACAAAGCCCATTTAAAATTAGGAATAAAATAAACGAAGTTACTTTTAGATTAGTAAAGCAGATTTAGTTTGTAGTTTACATTGCATTGAATAATTGACTGTTAGTTTTCGTATTTGAATGAAGTGGAATTAATTTAGATTTGGTGGAAATATTTCTTTTGAAGATTTTATGAATGAAGTGAAGATCAAATTTGATTGGGGTTATCAACGTCGCGCAATCAACAAGTGGATGTTTACGGCTCGCCGGGATAGCAATAGATCAATACCTGCTAGGAAGCGAAGGTTAACTGCCAAATGGTGCCAAACTGTAGAAGCGCTTTGTTTGGAAAATGGATTGTTGGGCAAAAAAATGTTGGAAAATTTAGTCTAGTATTAAGTACCTTTGTCGGTCAACGGTCGTAGATGCCGGTAGCTGCTTTAGCGGCCATCGTAGCGAAGTAACCCCTTAATTGGGGTCGGAAAACTCGCCACGACCGTGAGGCGGTTGACGAGGCCGAAGTAATCCCATAACTGAACATAAGGGCGTCTATATCTGTCGAAACTGACACTTTGAAATAAAACAAAATTGAACACAGTTTTAACACCCGTTAGCACACACTACCGCAAAGGTCCGGCGGCCATTTCGGCGGAAAACCGTATTTTCCCCTGGCGAACCTTCATAACATGGCGTCGACGACGTCCAAAACGACGTCCGGCGTCTTTCCCCACTCCCTTCACCTGGTGAAGCGACGTCTGCGTACGCAATAGTAGGAGGACTGAATGGCACCAGCGCCTCCACTATGAAGCTTAAACTATTTAGGCGTTCAGACGTGTCAGAATCGATCGGAAAACATCTGTACTTGCGCCATTCGTTCCGACGGATGTCGCGACGTTCCGGATAAACAAAACAAAAAAAAACAAACCTAAAATATGCCTAAATAACCTAAATAACACCAAACACCAAAGAGAATTTTCGCTGAATCCGAAAAAGATCTATTTATACAACCGAGCCGTGAATTTACTCATCGCCGGGCGCTGATATAATGTTTAAAGGTTCTTGTTTCACGTGGGAACGTGGTATTTCGGATACAAACAGACCTTAAAAAATACCGTAAATATTTGCCAATTTCGTGCGCACTTCAATACTAAATCAAGATGGAAAAAATTTGCTGCAAAAAATAAAATCATTTATTATTTTTAAAACGGGGTTGTAAAACGCAATCGATATGGAATCGCTAGAAATCGTTACGTCGGTGGGAGGGGGTCGGCAAAAAAAATTGATGAACACGGGGTGGCATAAGGAACCGTTATTCCTCCCCCTTTGAACGTAGGGGTTGGGGTGGGGTGATGCGACAGGGGTGGAAAGGGGGGGTGCTACCCCGGGCGGTACAACGCAGGGTGGGTCAGATATCTCGTAGAGTGTTGTTGCTGCAGGTGTATTTGTCAAAATATCTAGCGATTCCACCAAATATCGCCCGAAACGAGGTGAAAACTCTACAACTTTAGGGGTGAGTTACCTTCCTGTCATTCTATACACCCGTTGACACCCAAAAACAACGCCTGTTAACCGTTAACCGTTATTTCAACACCAAATAATATTATACAACCTTATTTTCATTTATGTAATAATTACCACAACATTGTTAGGTTCATGGGTGTCGCTTTTAAGGGTTTCCCAATGTTTTTATTACGGGTTTCGTTAAAACACGATAGGTGGCTAATATTACTTTTAAACATTTTCGCTTTCTTAATTAATTTTATTAAATTCATCCTCAGATGTGTAACTAACCTTAAAATACAATATTACCAAAAATCCATTGACTGCTACGAGGACATGTTTAAAAAGATGACGAGAAAGTTGTACGCCATTTATACATAAAGACTTATTAGAGTCAAATTTTGTATTTCTTACATTAGAAGATAAAACACCTTCCTTATCAGCTAGATATGAAGGTCCTTTTAAAGTGTCGTACGTGGTTTATATCAAAACTCTCCCGGCATAACAAAAAATTAGCTAGCACAATCAACTAATGCAGTAGAGTGCAATTTCAGACTTTTTCTAGGAGTTTAGAATTTGGCCAAAATACATCCAGACATTTTCTTGTCGTTTATAATGTTGGCTAGACATCGAGGATACCAAAAGTTTGTGAACCTTAATATATAGAGTATTGCATGAAATTCTCACATTCTGGAAAACGATTATCGCAAAATTTAGTAAAATTCAGATTTTTCTGGCCAAAAATGAATTCTGATAAGCATTGATACTTATGCTTTACTGATTAGTTTACGAGAAACATTTGCAAATCTTAGACCGACCATGACGTCTCATCACATCTCAAGAAAGCCATTTATACATAAAGACTTATTAGAGTCAAATTTTGCATTTCTTAGATTAGAAGGTAAAACACCTTCCTTATCAGCTAGATATGAAGATCCTTTTAAAGTGGTTAAAAAGTTTTCAAAAATTTTTGTTATATTGAAAAATAATAAAAAGTATAATGTTAACATAGATCATTTTCAAAATTCAATATCAGCTCAATTCGCAAAAAATTAAAATTAAAAAAAGTGTTACTTCAGGCATCAGGATTACTATGGTTCTGGGTTCATGATGCTTGGAGGCGGCCGACGTCTTCGACGACGGCCGTGGTTACTATCATACATGGTTTATATCAAAACTCTACCGGCATAAATGAAAGTGAAATAAAAAATTAGCTAGCACAATCAACTAATGCAGTAGAGTGCAATTTCAGACTTTTTCTAGGAGTTTAGAATTTGGCCAACGCACATCCAGACATTTTCTTGTCGTTTATGATGTTGACCAGACCTCGAGAATACGAAAAATTTGTGAACCTTAATATATAGCGTTTTGCATGAAATTAACTTAAGAAGTAACCTCGGCCGACTTCGAAGACGTCGACCGCCCCAAGATACAAACATTACATAATTTTTTCCGTTAGTTTTCTCACATTCTGGAATACGATTATCGCAAAATTTAGTAAAATCCAGATTTTTCTGGCCAAAAATGAATTCTGATAAGCATTGATACTTATCCTTTACTGATTAGTTTACGAGAAACATTTGCAAATCTTAGACCGACCACGACGTCTCATCACATCTCAAGAAAGCCATTTATACATAAAGACTTATTAGAGTCAAATTTTGCATTTCTTAGATTAGAAGGTAAAACACCTTGCTTATCAGTTAGATATGAAGATCCTTTTAAAGTGGTTAAAAAGTTTTCAAAAATTTTTGTTATATTGAAAAATAATAAAAAGTATAATGTTAACATAGATCATTTTCAAAATTCAATATCAGCTCAATTCGCAAAAAATTAAAATTAAAAAAAGTGTTACTTCAGGCATCAGGATTACTATGGTTCTGGGTTCATGATGCTTGGAGGCGGCCGACGTCTTCGACGACGGCCGTGGTTACTATCATACATGGTTTATATCAAAACTCTACCGGCATAAATGAAAGTGAAATAAAAAATTAGCTAGCACAATCAACTAATGCAGTAGAGTGCAATTTCAGACTTTTTCTAGGAGTTTAGAATTTGGCCAACGTACATCCAGACATTTTCTTGTCGTTTATAATGTTGGCTAGACCTCGAGTATACCAAAAGTTTTGAACCTTAATATATAGCGTTTTGCATGAAATTGACTTAAGAAGTAACCTCGGCCGACTTCGAAGACGTCGGCCGCCCCAAGTTACAAGCATTACATCATTTTTTCCGTTAGTTTTCTCACATTCTGGAAAACGATTATCGCAAAATTTAGTAAAATTCAGATTTTTCTGGCCAAAAATGAATTCTGATATTTATCACTGGACAAAATCTTGTATCAAATGTCAAACTTCTAAAATAAAGAAACATACAAAATCATCTTTCCAACAGTTTAACATTCCAAGATGCCGTTGTGAACATATTCATAGTGACTTAATTGGCCCTTCATTCTTACTGTAACTGAACGTTTTACAAGATGGGCAGAAACATATCTTCTTTCGAACATTAAATCTACTACTATTGCAAAAACTCTTTTAATTCATTGTTTTTCACGTCTTGGAATTCCTCACGACCAAGTTTTATTCTACTATTTTATTATTCTATTGCTAGAGGAAGCTCAGATCGTTGGAAACATGATCTTCCAATCGTTCTACTTGCTCTCAGATCTTGTTTAGCAGAAGATTTAAGTTGCTCACCTGCAGAGCTAGTTTTTGATCAACTATTTGTGAATTTTTTAGCAAATCACATAGTAGCATTGATACTTATCCTTTACTGATTAGTTTACGAGAAACATTTGCAAATCTTAGACCGACCATGACGTCTCATCACACCTCAAGAAAGCCATTTATACATAAAGACTTATTAGAGTCAAATTTTGCATTTCTTAGATTAGAAGGTAAAACACCCTCCTTATCAGCTAGATATGAAGATCCTTTTAAAGTGGTTAAAAAGTTTTCAAAAATTTTTGTTATATTGAAAAATAATAAAAAGTATAATGTTAGCATAGATCATTTTCAAAATTCAATATCTGCTCAATTCTCAAAAAATTAAAATTAAAAATGTGTTACTTCAAGCATCAGGATTACTATGGTTCTGGGTTCATGATGCTTGGAGGCGGCCGACGTCTTCGACGACGGCCGTGGTTGCTATCATACATGGTTTATATCAAAACTCTACCGGCATAAATAAAAGTGAAATAAAAAATTAGCTAGCACAATCAACTAATGCAGTAAAGTATTTGGCCAGTGCAATTTCAGACTTTTTCTAGAAGTTTAGAATTTGGCCAACCTACATCCAGACATTTTCTTGTTGTTTATAACGTTGGCTAGACATCGAGGATACCAAAAGTTTGTGAACCTTAATATATAACGTATTGCATGAAATTCTCACATTCTGGAAAACGATTATTGCAAAATTTAGAAAAATCCAGATTTTTCTGGCCAAAAATGAATTCTGATAAGCATTGATACTTATGCTTTACTGATTAGTTTACGAGAAACATTTGCAAATCTTAGACCGACCATGACGTCTCATCACATCTCAAGAAAGCCATTTATACATAAAGACTTATTAGAGTCAAATTTTGCATTTCTTAGATTAGAAGGTAAAACACCTTCCTTATCAGCTAGATATGAAGATCCTTTTAAAGTGGTTAAAAAGTTTTAAAAAATTTTTGTTATATTGAAAAATAATAAAAAGTATAATGTTAACATAGATCATTTTCAAAATTCAATATCTGCTTTTTCTCAAAAAATTAAAATTAAAAAAGTGTTACTTCAGGCATCAGGATTACTATGGTTCTGGGTTCATGATGCTTGGAGGCGGCCGAAGTCTTCGACGACGGCCGTGGTTACTATCATACATGGTTTATATCAAAACTCTACCGGCATAAATGAAAGTGAAATAAAAAATTAACTAGCACAATCAACTAATGCAGTAGAGTGCAATTTCAGACTTTTTCTATGAGTTTAGAATTTGGCCAACGTACATCCAGACATTTTCTTGTCGTTTATAATGTTGGCTAGACCTCGAGGATACCAAAAGTTTGTGAACCTTAATATATAGCGTATTGCATGAAATGGACTTGAGAAGTAACCTCGGCCGACTTCGAAGACGTCGGCCGCCCCAAGATACAAGCATTACATAATTTTTTCCGTTAGTTTTCTCACATTCTGGAATACGATTATCGCAAAATTTAGTAAAATCCAGATTTTTCTGGCCAAAAATGAATTCTGATATTTATCACTGGACAAAATCTTGTATCAAATGTCAAAGTTCTAAAATAAGCAAACATACAAAATCATCTTTCCAACAGTTCAACATTCCAAGATGCCGTTGTGAACATATTCATAGTGACTTAATTGGCCCTTTAACATTCTTACTGTAACTGAACGTTTTACAAGATGGGCAGAAACATATCCTTTTTCGAACATTAAATCTACTACTATTGCAAAAACTCTTTTAATTCATTGTTTTTCACGTTTTGGAATTCTTCACGACCAAGTTTTATTCTACTATTTTATTATTCTATTGCTAGAGGAAGCTCAGACCGTTGGAAACGTGATCTTCCAATCGTTCTACTTGCTCTCAGATCTTGTTTAGCAGAAGATTTAAGTTGCTCAGCTGCAGAGCTAGTTTTTGATCAACTATTTGTGAATTTTTTAGCAAATCACATAGTAGCATTGATACTTATCCTTTACTGATTAGTTTACGAGAAACATTTGCAAATCTTAGACCAACCATGACGTCTCATCACATCTCAAGAAAGCCATTTATACATAAAGACTTATTAGAGTCAAATTTTGCATTTCTTAGATTAGAAGGTAAAACACCTTGCTTATCAGCTAAATATGAAGATCCTTTTAAAGTGGTTAAAAAGTTTTCAAAAATTTTTGTTATATTGAAAAATAATAAAAAATATAATGTTAGCATAGATCATTTTCAAAATTCAATATCTGCTCAATTCTCAAAAAATTAAAATTAAAAAAAGTGTTACTTCAAGCATCAGGATTACTATCGTTCTGGGTTCATGATGCTTGGAGGCTTGGTGGTTACTATCATACATGGTTTATATCAAAACTCTACCGGCATAAATGAAAGTGAAATAAAAAATTAGCTAGCACAATCAACTAATGCAGTAGAGTGCAATTTCAGACTTTTTCTAGGAGTTTAGAATTTGGCCAACGTACATCCAGACATTTTCTTGTCGTTTATAATGTTGGCTAGACATCGAGGATACTAAAAGTTTGTGAACCTTAATATATAGCGTATTGCATGAAATGGACTTGAGAAGTAACCTCGGCCGACTTCGAAGACGTCGGCCGCCCCAAGATACAAGCATTACATAATTTTTTCCGTTCGTTTTCTCACATTCTGGAATACGATTATCGCAAAATTTAGTAAAATCCAGATTTTTCTGGCCAAAAATGAATTCTGATATTTATCACTGGACAAAATCTTGTATCAAATGTCAAAGTTCTAAAATAAGCAAACATACAAAATCATCTTTCCAACAGTTCAACATTCCAAGATGCCGTGTTGAACATATTCATAGCGACTTAATTGGCCCTTTAACATTCTTACTGTAACTGAACGTTTTACAATATGGGCAGAAACATATCCTCTTTCGAGCATTAAATCTACTACTATTGCAAAAACTCTTTTAATTCATTGTTTTTCACGTTTTGGAATTCCTCACGACCAAGTTTTATTTTACTATTTTATTATTCTATTGTTAGAGGAAGCTCAGATCGTTGGAAACATGATCTTCTACTTGCTCTCAGATCTTGTTTAGCAGAAGATTTAAGTTGCTCACCTGCAGAGCTAATTTTTGATCAACCATTTGTGAATTTTTTAGCAAATCACATAGTAGCATTGATACTTATGCTTTACTGATTAGTTTACGAGAAACATTTGCAAATCTTAGACCGACCATGACGTCTCATCACATCTCAAGAAAGCCATTTATACATAAAGACTTATTAGAGTCAAATTTTGCATTTCTTAGATTAGAAGGTAAAACACCTTCCTTATCAGCTAGATATGAAGATCCTTTTAAAGTGGTTAAAAAGTTTTCAAAAATTTTTGTTATATTGAAAAATAATAAAAAGTATAATGTTAGCATAGATCATTTTCAAAATTCAATATTTGCTCAATTCTCAAAAAATTAAAATTAAAAAAAGTGTTACTTCAGGCATCAGGATTACTATGGTTCTGGGTTCATGATGCTTGGAGGCGGCCGACGTCTTCGACGACGGCCGTGGTTACTATCATACATGGTTTATATCAAAACTCTACCGGCATAAATGAAAGTGAAATAAAAAATTAGCTAGCACAATCAACTAATGCAGTAGAGTGCAATTTCAGACTTTTTCTAGGAGTTTAGAATTTGGCCAACGTACATCTAGACATTTTCTTGTCGTTTATAATGTTGGCTAGACCTCGAGGATACTAAAAGTTTGTGAACCTTAATATCAAATCATATAACGTATTGCATGAAATTGACTTAAGAAGTAACCTCGGCCGACTTCGAAGACGTCGGCCGCCCCAAGTTACAAGCACTACATCATTTTTTCCGTTAGTTTTCTCACATTCTGGAATACGATTATCGCAAAATTTAGTAAAATCCAGATCTTTCTGGCCAAAAATGAATTCTGATATTTATCACTGGACAAAATCTTGTATCAAATGTCAAACTTCTAAAATAAACAAACATACTAAATCATCTTTCCAACAGTTCAACATTCCAAGATGCCGTTTTGAACATATTCATAGTGACTTAATTGGCCCTCTAACATTCTTACTGTAACTGAACGTTTTACAAGATGGGCAGAAACATATCTTCTTTCGAACATTAAATTTACTACTGTTGCAAAAACTCTTTTAATTCATTGTTTATCACGTTTTGGAATTCCTCACGACCAAGTTTTATTCTACTATTTTATTATTCTATTGCTAGAGGAAGCTCAGACCGTTGGAAACATGATCTTCCAATCGTTCTACTTGCTCTCAGATCTTGTTTAGCAGAAGATTTAAGTTGCTCACCTGCAGAGCTAGTTTTTGATCAACTATTTGTGAATTTTTTAGCAAATCACATAGTAGCATTGATACTTATCCTTTACTGATTAGTTTACGAGAAACATTTGCAAATCTTAGACCGACCATGACGTCTCATCACACCTCAAGAAAGCCATTTATACATAAAGACTTATTAGAGTCAAATTTTGCATTTCTTAGATTAGAAGGTAAAACACCCTCCTTATCAGCTAGATATGAAGATCCTTTTAAAGTGGTTAAAAAGTTTTCAAAAATTTTTGTTAAATTGAAAAATAATAAAAAGTATAATGTTAGCATAGATCATTTTCAAAATTCAATATTTGCTCAATTCTCAAAAAATTAAAATTAAAAAAAGTGTTACTTCAGGCATCAAGATTACTATGGTTCTGGGTTCATGATGCTTGGAGGCGGCCGACGTCTTCGAAGACGGCAGTGGTTACTATCATACATGGTTTATATCAAAAAGTCTACCGGCATAAATGAAAGTGAAATAAAAAATTAGCTAGCACAATCAACTAATGCAGTAAAGTATTTGGCCAGTGCAATTTCTGATTTTTTCTAGGAGTTTAGAATTTGGTCAACGTACATCCAGACATTTTCTCGTCGTTTATGATATTGACTAGACCTCGAGAATACCAAAAATTTGTGAACCTTAATATATAGCGTTTTGCATGAAATTGACTTAAGAAGTAACCTCGGCCGACTTCGAAGACGTCGGCCGCCCCAAGTTACAAGCACTACATCACTTTTTCCGTTAGTATTCTCACATTCTGGAATAGGATTATTGCAAAATTTAGTAAAATGCAGATTTTTATGGCCAAAAATGAATTCTGATATTTATCGCTGGACAAAATCTTGTATCAAGTGTCAAACTTTTAAAACAAACAAACATACTAAATCATCTTTCCAACAGTTCAACATTCCAAGATGCCGTTTTGAACATACTCATAGTGACTTAATTGGCCCTTTAACATTCTTACTGTAACTGAACGTTTTACAAGATGGGCAGAAACATATCCTCTTTCGAACATTAAATTTACTACTATTGCAAAAACTCTTTTAATTCATTGTTTTTCACGTTTTGGAATTCCTCACGACCAAGTTTTATTCTACTATTTTATTATTCTATTGCTAGAGGAAGCTCAGATCGTTGGAAACATGATCTTCCAATCGTTCTACTTGCTCTCAGATCTTGTTTAGCAGAAGATTTAAGTTGCTCACCTGCAGAGCTAGTTTTTGATCAACTATTTGTGAATTTTTTAGCAAATCACATAGTAGCATTGATACTTATGCTTTACTGATTAGTTTACGAGAAACATTTGCAAATCTTAGACCGACCATGACGTCTCATCACACCTCAAGAAAGCCATTTATACATAAAGACTTATTAAAGTCAAATTTTGTATTTCTTTGTAGTTCTGGGTTCATAATACTTGGAGGCGTGGTGGTTACTATCATACAGCCAGTGCAATTTCAGACTTTTTCTAGGAATTTAGAATTTGGCCAACATACATCCAGACATTTTCTTCAGAAATGGACTCAAGAAGTAACCTCGGCCGACTTCGAAGACGTCGGCCGCCCCAATTTCAAAGTATTGTTAATTCTTCTCAAGTAGTATCTGGTTTTTACAAAGTTTTGTCTTTTACAAGCATTACATAATTTTTGCCGTTAGTTTTCTTCAAATAACATGCGGTCTGTGTCAGTCTTTTAACAGTTTATGGTGTTGTGTCAGCTGTATCATATTTCTGCTTTGACATTATTCATTCCATTATCCATCCTCATCTTGTTCTGAATCACTGTTCTCAACTTGCTCCTCAACTAAATCTTCTTCGCCATCTGATTCTCAGTTTTGAAATTTTAGTATTTTTTAGTCATCTTCTTTTTGTTGTTCACGACACTTGGACCAAACAAAATATAATATAGCAAAATCTGCAAATCTAGCAAAAAATTAAAATTTAAAAAAGTGTTACTTTAGGCATCAGGATTACCATGGTTCTGGGTTCGTAATGCTTGGGGGCGGCCGACGTCTTGAACGACAACTTCAATTTCTTCTAAACAAGCAAATTAGTAAGACTGCAAAATTTATTTATCAGAAGAATTTTACTTTCAACCAAATTTATGTATTAACCAATCTTATTACGTTTTGCTAAGTTTTGATAAGTAGCTAATTAATTTTATTAATTTCATCCCCAGATGTGTAACTAACCTAAAAACACAACATTACAAAGAATCAAAACCATGGAAGTCCCCATGCCAATGGCAGGTAATGCCATTGACTGTTACGAGGACATGTTTAAAGAGATAACGAGAAAGTTGTACGGCGAAGATGGTCTTCCAGAGTTAAACACCCTCGATAGACACAACGGCCAACAAGATCGAGGGTTAACCCCCATCGACTACGATGTGGAGACGCCGATTTTGAAGTCCGAGGAACATATAACCGCTTTTGGATTAGCTGCGTTGATGCAAAATGGATTCCCACCGGCGAGTATATTAAATTCGCAGTTTCAACAGCACAGATCAAATCAGAATTATGAAGATAAATGGGTGGTGAACGAGGATGGTTTGAATTGGACCCAATCAAAAATTGCAAGTTACAACGGTGCGCAAAAGCTGTTTAGATGTACCGAGTGCGAATGCGTTGGCTACATGCCCAGGGTGGTTGAGCATTGGTTGGGAACCCACTCAAATCTAAGAGTCTTTCAATGTTCGCAATGTCCGTACGAAAGCGCGTGGGTGAAATGCGTGAGGACGCATTTAAGTAGACAACACAACATTAATTCTGAGGAAACGATCGATTTACTCCTAAAAAATAATTTGGTACATCAAGAATTAACAAGGTACCTCCAACAATTAAAAAATAAAGTCGATAGTACCTACCTTAAACCAGCTTCTTCAACAACATCCTTAGACGAATACCAAAACGTTAACGTCAACAGGCAACCTCAACAAAATCAGCACGTTTCCAGCAACGAAGCTAATGGAAGCGGTGGAAATAAACGATATTCTTGTTCTTATTGCCCATATGCAACGGATAGAAGGGATTTATTTACGAGGCACGAAAACATCCACAGAGAAGAAAAACCATTTCAATGTTACATCTGTCAAAAGCAATTCAACAGAGCAGATCACGTAAAAAAGCATTTTTTAAGAATGCACAGAGAACATCCTTACGACTTAAATAGGATAAGAAGACATCCGCCCAAAAACGCCTCCGGGATGTCGTATTACCAAAAATATAATTCAACAGGTATCCAAGAACCAACGGAACAAATGAATTTAAACCTAGGAATTAGCAACTCTTTAGCAATCGCCAACAGCTTCAATAATTTAGCTAGAAACTCGCAAAATCGAACGACTGACGTCAAACCCGGCAATAAACCCCACATCAAACCATCGGGGAAGAAAAAAGGCGAGAAAAGATTCAGCTGCTGCTACTGTTCTTGGTCCGGAGTAGATAATTGGTGCCTTAAACGGCACATGAACACCCACCTTAAGCCTTTCGTTTGCGGACTCTGCGATTACAAAGCTGCAAGATCCGAACGATTAGCTACTCACGTTTTAAAAGTTCACAACAAACGAAGTTGTGGGAAGTGCAACTTTTTGGCCGATGATCCAGCCCAACTTTCTGCTCATCAACAGGATCATCAGTAAGTATTTGAGATTTGAGGTGCTTTTTTCTTTAACCTTTTGATTAATACTACTTTTAGTCCTTTAGATCAAAGAAATGGACGAAACGGTAATGTTTTAAGAAACTCCAGCTATACTTCTAACGTACCATCAGCCAACACAACAACTACTAAGTAAGTTATCAAGTAATTTTAGTTTTAAGAAATATGCAAGATGTTCTACGTAACTTTTTTAGGTTCCACCAAACTTATTTTCTTCATGACGCTTGGATCGAACAAAATAGAATATAGTAAAATTTTAATTTGAGCAAATGGCTGCTTTATGCATTTATAGCCCATCATCATCTTCTGCAAATTTAGAGCAAATACTCTCGCCCATCCTTGTAAAAAGGCCCAATTAAAGTTATCTTATTTTATCAGAAGAGCAAATTTTGCTTTCAAACATAAAACTTTGGTATGAAATTTTTAGGATTTTTGTACCAATCTCATTACATTTATCCTGGAATACGATTATCGCAAAAATACAGATTTTTCTGGCCAAGAATGAATCTTGTACACAAAATCTTGTATCCAAATTTGAAAAAATGTTACTTTATGGATCAGGTTTATCATGGTTCTGGGTTCGTCTGGGTCGGCATAAATAACAATGAAACAAGAAATTAGCTAGTACAATCAACTAATGTAGTAGGGTATTTGGCCAATGCAATTTCAGACTTTATCTAGGAGTTTAGAATTTGGCCAACGTACATCCAGACATTTTCTTGTCGTTTATAATGTTGGCTAGACCTCGAGAATACCAAAAGAAGTAAGCTCGGCCGACTTCGAAGACGTCGGCCGCCCCAAGTTACAAGCATTACATAATCTTTTCCGTTAGTTTTCTCACACTCTGGAATACGATTATTGCAAAATTTAGTAAAATCCAGATTTTTCTGGCCAAGAATGAATTCTGATATTGATCACTGGACAAAATCTTGTATCAAATGTCAAACTTCTAAAATAAACAAACGTACAAAATCATCTTTTCAACATTCCAAGAGACCGTTTTGAACATTAAATCTACTACTATTGCAAAACTCTTTTAAATCAATGTTTTTCACGTTTTTGTATTCCTTACGACCAAGTTTTATTCTATTTCTAGAAGAAGTTCAGACCGTTGGAAACATGATCTTTCATGATCTTCTATATCTTCCTGCACTCTCTCCGGCTACATCAACCAGCCTAAGGAATTTGTTGATTGGGAGTATAAGTTCTGTAAAGCCCTTGTTTTGTAAAGTATGGCTTATATTTGAATACTGTAGTACTTCCCATAATTTAGTTAATTAATTTAGTGTCATATACTTTAGTTAGATCTACGAATAATGTATGGATTTCTTGGTTTGAGGCGCTCCTTGGTTTTCAATAATTTGTTTCATACAAAATATGTTACAATTGCATGATCTGCTCTATGACCCACTCTATTCTTCTGTATCCTCAATCTCTCTCTCGTATGTATGTAGGAAAGGGGAGGGTATGCTTACGCATACAGTACCTAGGCACCAAGGCTCCTGGCTACATCAACCAGCCTAAGGAATTTCCGAAGGCTAGGATACTGCTCAGAGGTGTGTTCCTGATGCCATCTGTGGTCGGCCATTCCTCCCTGTAGGCTCTCATTCTGAGATTACAGTTCGTAGAGCGTTTCTACCAAGCCTTACGAAAAACAAGGCTGCCTCTGCTGAGGGATAATGTAATACTTCCTTAGACAGATGACGCCCTTAATCCTATTCCAGCAGTTCATAAACTTTTTGTGGGTAAAATTTTTAATTATATCAATCTGAATTGATAAGGACGGAGCGATTATCGGCTCAGCCTTTTTGTTACCTGAACAAGTGGAGTGTCCTTTTGTCCATTGAAGTATAACATTTATGCACTGCGGCCTTCTCCAATGTCAGATGACAACCTATAACAAGTTCTGAGGTAATTGTTATTCTACTCAGGGCTCCAATAGCTTGTCTACTCCGCCTGTGTGACGGTGGTACTTTTACTTAGAGGTTCAGATACGTGGAGTCGAAGAACGTCGTCTACTTGAACCATCAGTGTAGATTTTAAGGCTGTTTTTTACCTCTACTTCTGTGGGACTTGGGTGGGTGAGATATTTCTTCGTAAAAATGTGTTGTAGGGGTGTGAAGTCCGTTAAACATTTCAGAATTGGCGAGTAGTCCACCATTTCATTCCAGAGAATTGCATTTTTACTATATCTCTCACCCATTAGAATTCCTGCTACTCGCAGTCGATTCATGATTCACCTCTTGGATGAACAAACGAAGTGGCTTTAGGTTCAACATGTTTTCCATGGCTGCAGTGGGGCGTCTTGTGGTGCAGATCACAATAGGTTTACGAAACAAAACATGATAACTTACTCATCAGATAAACTTTATTTGATAAAAAAGATCAATAATCATAATTAATTAACGGCAAGTTTTCGTGCAAAAATACTAAATGGGCAGCTCTCTCTGGTAGAAAGCGATTTCTTTTTTTTTCATATAAGTTCCCTGCTTCTGAAAACAGTCGCTCACTGAAAATTGTGCTTGATGGAGCGGATAAATACACTTTTGCAAGACAACTCATTTTAGAATATTTGAAACTGTTTGTTTTCCACCAAACAAATGGATCTTCATCTCGTTTTAAGAGTTCTCCGGATAAATAACAGTCCAGTTCATTGCTATCCTATTTCTTGGATTGAAGTCTTTAACGGCCTTACTAGACGAAGCTATGTCTTTATAGGAGTCCCAGAAAATACCATGACTTCGATTGATCCCACTTATTGAAGGTAACTCTTCATCGTTATCTCTATCATCGCTACTGCTGCTCTCTGAATTAAATTCCCTTTGAAGCGCTTCTAAAAAAAAGGTACGCCTTATAACAGATATGTTTTCAGATGTTTTCAGATCAAGTAACGTTGCCATATAATAATTTTTTTCTATTTCTATATTTTCAAATCTTATCTTTACCCCTTTCAATAAAGTAAGTCTCATTTCAGTAAAATTTTCTGAAACGAGATCGTCTTTCGATAAGTATTTTATTAATGTTTTTACATTCGGAATTATGGAGAAAATGGTAGCAGAGGAGGAGCTTGCCAATTTAGTAATTTCTTCTAGCGGCTTAAGAAGCAACATACATTCTTCTAACAGTTGCCATTCTGCTACAGACAGATTCTGAAACTTTACATCATTTTCAGAAATATATAGTGTAACCGCCCTCTTTTGTTCACACAATCGAGCATGTAAAACGTGCTATTCCATCTCGTGCGGACATCTTGGATGAGTTGATGAAAAGGTAACAATACGTCTTGATGCGATTATCATCTAAGTTACATTTTCCTGAACACATATGGCTTCGTTTACCACCAATTGCAACGTGTGAATGAAGCAAGGGATCGGGTCGTACATGGAGTCATTAAGGGCTTTGACCATATTAGCACCATTGTCACGTAAAATAACGTGTACTTTTTTTGTGGTATGTCCCAAATTGTCATAATATCAGATATTGCACTGCGAATATTGTTCGCTGTATGTTGCCCAGGAAAATGTTTCATATCCAGAACACAGTGTTTTTGTGTGAAATCATCTGTTAGCCAATGAATTGTTAAGCTAATAAAACTCTGCATATTGTTGTCATTAGTCCACATATCTGTCGTTGCAGAAACTGCTACATTTGGGATATTTCTTTTTTTATGACATTTTTGGTTCTGTTATATATATCTGGAATTATTACGTCGGTTATATGTTTTCGGCTAGGACTTTTATATTTTGGCTTCATTTTTTTTATTAACCTTACAAAACCAGTGTTTTCCACTATGGATATCGGCTGATTACAGCAATCATTTCTGCAATTGCGTAGTTTATTTCTTTTGTTCATTTTTTTGGGGGGATTTTGTAAAAAAACTTTTATTTCTCTCGGATGGTTTTCTTGTGACTTCTGAACACTTAATTCTTTGAAAGCCGCTGTCGCAAAACATTTCTTTACGTTTGTCAAAAATATTATAAGTATTTAAGTATTAGTATTTAAGTTTAAAATTAGGCTTATAGAACAACCTTTCAAATAACCCTGTATAATGACTAAATGTCTAGCATTTAACATGAGGCTGGATATTCAATGTGAAATTAGATAGTTTTATCTTCGATTTGCTAAAAAAATTATGAAAATCGATGTAATAATAAGAAAGTTATCACACTTCAAACTTTACCAAAAATTGACGTGTTGCGTTTTTTTGCACCTGAGTGTATATTAATTAAATTATATTATATTAGAAATAATATAAATTGTTTTCAATTTTATTATTTTATTTATTTTCATGTCTGTTAATGTTAGACAGTTATCCAAACACGTATATACACTTACCTTTTATGTGGTTTATAAGGGAACTAGTTGTTGTTGATTTTCCTTTTCCACCTCTTGAAATAAGAGCGTTGCAAATTGTACATTCTGCTTTACTCTCCTCCTCGGAATCTTTGAAAAACATCCAAACTTTCGATTTTTTTGTTGTACTCATATTTTTCACGACACTAATTTAACTCAATGATTGAACATCTTCTCACCTCGCTTGTCACTTACCAAATAAGCAGTAACGAAATTTTTCGTATACTCACAAGTTCAGACATGTATGGCGATTAATGCAAATATAACCAAGATAGAACTCGGGGAAGCACCGACTTCGAGTCCGATTATCGAGATTTGAGAAATATTCGGTTAGGTCGAATATACGATTCAAATGTCGGCCGATATTCGGTATTCGGATATTCGGCTAAACTACTATTCGTCACATCACTACTCTCCATACACCATCATACTGTCAATCAACTAATGCAGTAGGGTATTTGGCCAGTGAAATTTCAGAGTTTTTCTGGGAGTTTAGAATTTGGCCAACGTACATCCAAACATTTTCTTGTCGTTCATAATGTTGGTTAGACCTCGAGAATACCAAAAGTTGGTAAACCTTAATATATAGCGTATTGCATGAAATGGACTTAAGAAGTAAGTTTGTGGTCTTCTGCAAACTTTTGCAAAGAAGCCTTATTGAATCCAAATCTGCATCTTGTTCTGAATTACTTGTTTCTCAACTAAATCTTCTTCTCAGCCAACTGTACAAAGAGTGGAACCTAAAAAAGTTGTAATGAAGTTAGTTGTATTGTAATTTGTTATTTATTTGTTTCAGTCAATCTTCCATAAAAAGTCACGAATTAAATCCAGCTTCCGTACTGTTACAACATAACAATCGTCTTCTTCAGCAAGACTCAAAATCTTGGAAGCCTCACACTCCAAAACAACATGGTGCAGCAAGATTATTTAATTACATGGAGGCAAGCGACGGATCGGAACCGGAAGCAGACTCGAAAGGTGCGGAAGATATGAGTAGAGTGAACTTAAGCCATAGGATACACTCGGATTTTCCTGAAGCGGGAGATGTTGGTAGCTCTCTGGACGAGTACGAGGAAGACGAAGTGGAACTTCCATTGTTCGTCTGTCACACGTGCGGCTGCGAGTTCGAGGACGACGGCTCTTTGGCGACTCACAGTCACATCCATAACCACGGCGCCGCATCTCCCGCGAAATTCGACGATTCGAAGGAGAATATCAACCCCAGGCACAATTACAGATGCCAAATTTGCAAGTCCACATTCGTTAATCAACAAATGGTGATAACACACATGAATACACACTCGACGTTGTCACACAACTCCCAAAATTCTTCGCAAAAAGAAATAAAGAGACCGAGAAAACAAAGTCAGCCGAAGAAGGTGTTGTCGTTGTTTCAAAGTCAATCCCAAGTTTCTGGAAAAGGATTGGGCGAATTGGTTGACAAGCACATGGCCCAATTCGTAACGGCAAAAACGTATTGTTGCAGGAAATGTAGAAATGCGAAAATATGTCAGTTTAGGAGAAAAACAGGTCTGATGTTGCACGAGTACTGGAGACATTCGAAGAGGAATTTCGCTTGCGAACATTGTAACGTTAGTTTTAAACACCGTTACCAAGTAGTTTTACATTCAAGCAGGGTTCATGTAAAAAGACCGTGTAAAAGTGGCTCTGACGATACGTTACCTAATCATTTAAATAACGCGGTACCTGATATTCCTTCTTCAACAAATAGCGTACATAAACTGGGCGTACCATTCTTCGATCATTCGTTTTTACATTCGAACACTGGAATTAACAATCACATGCCTATTATCATCCCTACGTTTCCACCTAATTAATTTCGTCGTTCTTATCTAATGAAGAAAACAGATTTAAATGCTTTTTGATTGGAAGTATTGTTGGTTGTAAAATGGTGGGTATAGTTCCGAGATTAAATATAAAAAATAAAATAAATGGAAGCAAAATTAACAAACTTAACGAATAAAAAACCATTGAAAATCATACAAGAAAGTGACCTTTGTGAATTTTTTCAATAACAAAGAAATATTCTGTAGAATAGCTAATAAAGAAATATAAAAAAATGAACATATTTTCTAGTACGTTTGTCGAAATGATATATGATGACACAAAAATAGTTTTGCAATATACAAGCTCAAACTACCGAAGGGGTTTCAAACGTTTACGACGAGTGGATTACGATAATAAAGACGTATACGTTTATTATATCGCATTTAATGTCGCATTACGGTTATATTATTACAGTATTTTAATCGATATCATTGGGATTATTATTTATCTTGTTTACAAATATTTGTTTTATTGTCTTTGTTATCGCGAACGTGCAATTTTGTTAAAATTATAATCCCGTTTTTGTTAACATTTCATTAGTTTTGCTTATGTGCAATTACTTTATGTACTATTTATCGATTTATTATTAGACTTATATACGGAACAAAATCATAAAAAGACTGTATTTTATTTATATTATTTATATATTTATCTATGAAATAAATCTCGGTTTAAAATGAAATTTTTGTTAACTTTATTTATACCAGGTTTGTCACTTTGATAATTAAGAATTTTCACTTTGACAATTTTCGCCGATTAAGTTTTAAAAATTCGTATAAAATCCATTTCTTGGAATATGAGTATGAAAATTTCCCAAAGTGTTAATAAAAGTGTCCTCTTTCCAATGAACCAACCCGTTTTGAAAAATATCTTTTAGTTTTTGAGAAAACAATATTTGAAGTTTTGATAAAATTTTCGATGTTACAATTTTCATCGATAACGTTCAAAATTCGCTATAAAATTAATTTCTTGAAGGATCCTTGTGGAAATATCACCAATTATGAATTTA